AAAAAATAGATTCGAATTCTTGTGCTTTATTCGAAAAGGTGACAAATGAGAAATTAGTAAATCCACTATCTTCAAAAAGGCCTGAATCCACCGAATATAGTTCTGGTTACGGAAACATAGCAAAATACTTGAAGCTGTTACATGACATAAACAGCTTACCCCCAGGTATGTATCCATAATTGTAGGCATTTTCTAGCTAATACTATGATCTTTTATTTATAATGTGCATAATGTTTATATAGGCATTGACGTTGAGAACCTTGATGAGGGCGACTGCATTGAACAAACACTGAGAAGAAATCAAGCTAAATGACATAAAAGTTGTAGCATTGCTTGCACTAAATTGAGGTACGAACGTGCCCTTCGTTAAAGGAAGTCAGATGAGAGCAATCCCAGTGACACAGTTAAGACAAGAGCTAAAGTAGGCAGTACAGTATGAGTTGAAAAAAGATACTTGCATTTTTTTGTGAAAAAGATGGGGGGGGGGGCTTCTCCATAAAGCATCAACTGCTATTCTAGACCATAGAGTTAGATCAGCTGCAGTCGAGCTTCAAGATCGTAAACTACTCGCAAAACTCGCTTGTGGAGGTGACCTGCATGCCGTGGATGCTGTATATCACGAGTCCTGTTTKACTGCTTTGCGCAATAAAGTCCGTGCATTCAAATCTACAAGTGGTGATGATAGTGTGTCTCTTTCGTTAGAATCAATAGCATTAGCAGAGCTAGTATCCTTCAAAGAGGAAAATGAAGAGAAAGGAACATTCCTGCTTTCGAAACTTACAAAGTTGTACTCGGATAGATTGAAAGAGCTAGGAACAGATACCCCAGAGCGAATCAACTCAACTACACTTAAAGAGCATATTTTATCATTGATTCCTAACTTGAAAGCACACAATGATGGCAAAGCAGTTCAACTTACATTATTACAATATAACTGCTGCAGTGAAGCTAGCAAGCAGCATGAACTTTGATTCGGAAGCAATACATCTAGCAAGGACAGCATCCATATTAAGACGTGACCTCTTTAAGGGTCAATCACAATTTAATGGGTCATTTGAGCATAACTGTCAACTTAGATCAGTCCAATCGTCTTGCTTTAGTCACTATGATTTTAGAAGGACCCAGTATCAAGACAGAAAAATACGAGGAGAAAGATAAGAGTACAAGCTCAGCAGCACTAACCATCTCAAAACTTCTTATTTTCAATGCAACCAATCGCAAAAGAGAAAACAAGACATCACCCAGACATAGTGTAAAACAGGAATCGCCGTTACCAGTTTACATTGGATCTGTCATACACGCTGAAACAAGGAAAAAAACAGATTGTTGACAGGTTTTACAGGCTAGGACTTTCCGTGTCTTATGACCGAGT